ATATTCAATGTAAAACCTAACCTAACCTAAAAATTATTGCTCAAATATCAACAGATCGCTATTAACTTGAAACAGTATATTTAATACCTACAAAAATTAAAACAATCAATCGCCATTACGTGTTTCAATAATAGATATATAAATTAAAATTCATATTCAATGTGGAACTTAAACCTAACCTAACTTAACCTAAAAATTACCGCTCAAATACCAACAGACTACTACTCCTTCCACACGCAGCTGCTCTCGCGGTTTTTCTCTCTCGCGACGCGATGGAATTTATCCCTCAGTGACATTGAACGAGGCAATTACTATTCTATTCTACAGTAGACTTCACGGATATTGAGCAATTAGGGCCTTTTGTTAAACAAAGTGATCAAGAAGATGAAGTGCTCCTAGTCCCCTTCTGTATTCAGTTTCTCTGTCCAGCTCGTTCGTCACCCGAGCTCCTCTGTAATTTCTACCGGGATGCAACTGTCGCGTGTAGTGTAAATATTTGATCTCTGCCGTTCGTTTACATCGGTGTTGCACGCCGCGTTTAAAACGTTGGAACGTTACCACGCGGCTGTTTAAAATTGCTTTTTCTCTAAATTACGCCGCCGTCCGTCATTTGCATATCTCGCGCATACGCTACATCGTAACTGCGCAAGTTACGCAGTATCTCCTGTAACATTTAATTTATTAGCACATGTAAGATGTACGTACAGGGTGTCTCATTTTAAACTGTAAGTGCAATTATCTTCGAAATTGTTCGTCATTTAAAAAAGTGTATTTTCTTTCTGTTTTGATAAGTGGATACTATAATTTGGTGTACTTTATGTCTGTACGAAGGTATATTTTTTCAAGTATAATTTTGCAATTTTCTTTTTGCATCAATCGACGCAGCAGGTCGTTCTCTACAAAAAAGTATTAACTTATCTATGGTCTAAAACTCGTTCGTTTGAGAGATATTTTTTTATAAAATCTACTAAATCATAAAAGAGAAGTCTCGTCATTTTTTGATGATAGATTTTATAATAAAATTTTATAATAAAATTAAATTTTATGATAAAATTAAATTTTATGATAAAATTAAGTTAAATTTAATTTTATAATAAAATTAAGTTAAAAACCTAAACTAAGGCTCTTCTTTTTTTTTTACAGAAAATTACCTGCTGCGTTGATTGACGTAAAAAAAATTGCATAATTATACTTGAAAAAATAACAAACTTTCATCATATATCTCCTACACGCGTCTATCTAGAGACAAACTAATTGCAAGTGTATCAAATTACTGCCCTCTCAAAACCAGAGAAAGAAAAAAAAAGAAAACTCATTTGAAACGAATAATTTTGAAGATAATTGCATTTATAGATTAAAATGAGACACCCTGGGCAGTATGTAGAAGTGAACTATTTAAACGACAGTTTGAGGAACTTGATTACATTGTTGCACAAATTTGTCGGACAATAAAATTTGCATTCGGGTATTGAAATCCAAACGAAATTGAACGCAAATGTTCCAGTTATTAATATTAATATTGTTCGCTGAATCCGTCGTTAAAATGTTTGCGCAAACTTGCGCGTTACGTGTTTATTCGAAGTCACGTGTGTATATATATACATATATACATATATATATATGTATAGCTCTCCGCCGAGTGACAAACATTCAGACCGTTCGCGAGCTTTTCACGTGAAACGTGAATTAACATTCGACCGTGTTGTTCGCGGAGAGTTTTTAATTTTAAAACTGGCGCGCGCCACGGCGAAAAGATCAAGGTGACGCGGGGTATTGCTGGTTCGGCTAACCAATTGTGTATTTAAATTAATTTAGGGAAGAGCCGGACACTCCGAGCTTTTCAATTATAACTTGGCCAATTATTCTTGATGAAAGTCAGACATCCAAGAGAGAAAAGTGGATACAAACGTTTAACAAGCGGGTACGAATTGCTCTCCTCAAGTTTTATCACGAGGATTGCGATGTAACCTGCATAAATGAAAATTTGAAAAGAAAATTGTCGTTCCGGTACCAGACACCTACTTAAATAGTAGATTTTAAGGTAATAGGTAGATTTAAATAGAACGAAACTTTTATTTAAACGTGTTTGCAAGTATGGCAATATAATCGATGCTTTTCTTTCTTCAAAATGGCCAGTCTTATAGCCATTTTCACCTCGAGCGACGTTCTCAAAGCTGCTTTCACGTTGTCTGCGTTCATTTTACTATTTTCTCTCCGACTTCGGACACTTTACAATAACGATGGAAGAAAAAAATCCAAAAACTTCAGTGGTGAAGAAAATGTTTTTAAACTTAAACTTAAGTGCTGCACGACAGGGAAAGAAACTTGGGTTTGGTACATGTAGTAACAGTCTAGAAATAACGTACATAATGTAACAAAATTATTTAGTTACTTGAAAAATAAGAAATCTACTGTGAGAAGTAATTTTGTGAAATGTGGCAATGTAAATATATAATGTCTTGTATCTTTTGGTAATATAATAATATTGAAACAAAGAGCAGCAACATTGGAATATGTTTTTAAAAACGATAGTATGGAATACTAGAACTATAGATTGAAGTCAAATTGAAGTCAAAAAAATAGAGAAACTTTCTAATATGATGAAAAGGACATATTATTTAAATCTTTAAATATTAGAATATTATAATTAAATGTATAATATTATAACATAATTATATAATACATACTATAACGTTAGAATATTATATTAGAATATCATAATTAATATTAAAAAATACACTGTTTCGCGTCTACAAAGTATCTAACAAAAATTATAAATTTAGTAGTCATTTTGACTACTTTGGTGGTTCTAGTGATTTCTTCGTCGATAATGTAGATCAAACGTTCGTTTCTCCACCGATAATGTAGATCAAAGAAATGTTTTTTCCCCTGCGTGGATAGTGAATTTTGTTAGCACGTACCTGACTCTGAATCTGTCATAAATACAATCGTGCTGGGAAAATCTGATAAATGCCAAGAGAAGTGATAACCGATATAAAAACCGTAAAATGCCTCCAGTAAATTAAATAAATTTCTCGATGGGAAGTTTCCGTCGTGGGAAAACTCAGTGGCCGGAGGGACAGCGAAAATTGTATTCGGTATGAAGAGAATAATGGTCGCATTGATATTTCTCCAGGTGAAGTGGAGAAGGGAAGGGCATTAATCTTTTCTCTACTCGCGAGCTCGGTTATTTTCTCGCGAGGAAACGCTGTAACAATCGAGCTGTTCGCTTTTCGGAAAATGTCGAGGATCCTCAAATACACGCATCGTGTCGAAAAGTTTCGAAGGGGTGAAACTTCCGACTTCTTCTCCTTCAAATACTTGAGAAAAGGGTGGAAACTTTTCCTCGTGAAGGAGGAGCTCGCAAAAAACAGCCGCCCTTTCGCTTGGCACGCGTTTCCTCTTCCTTCGTCGCGGCGTATCACGTCTCATGATGCATAAATCATACGTTGTACATTTTCTGCTGATTATTTTCATTCATTGTCTCGTCGCTATTTGCATCCGCGTTTTGAATTCTCTCTCTCTCTCTTTCAAATAGCGGATGAAGCAAGTAACGCTTAATGATTTTTCTTCGAAAGTGTCGTAAGACCGAAATGAAGATGGCCCTCTACTTTCTTTCCAATTTTTTACGAAGAAACTACCTGGCTACGTGTTTTTGAGCTCGACGGTCATGGCCTGAACTTCTCCGCCGTTCCTTCCTATATTACTTTGAATCAGTGATCGAAAAAAATTAAGGAACTTTTTAAGTTGGTTCTATCTACTTGGAACTACTTTTCGAAAGGCGGTGCACAAGCTCCGATAAGAACGGATAAATAAAAGTGAAACTTTTTACTTTTTACAGGATAAAAACTTGCAAAATATAAAGATGAACGTCGG